TAAAGGTTGATAATGCAAAGCTGAGGTCAAGTAACCCAACAACTGTAACCAAATAAAAAAAAAAACAAAAACAAAAACAAAAACACAAAAACAGTTTCTTTGCTAGCTTACAAAGAAGTCCTCATGCGATGGTCAAGCACAAGATGAATCCAGCACAGGATTTGAGAGTCTGTCAGTGGCTAAAGTCCAAAGACACTCGGACGGTCAGCAGGGGCAGGTCTGTTACAGCAAAATCAGAATTCTGATTAAGAAAACCTGGCTTCCCGACACACAACTGAGTAGATGTTCCCGAAGATTCGGACCTCCCCAGACCTTTTCTGAATCTTCTGAGCATGAAGAAGTGATCTCAAACTCTCACCACCACCAGCAGCAAAACGGAAGGAAAATACAGAGGTCTTTCTCCCACAAGACAACATGTGTCTACCTCAGGAGATGTCCCCAATTCTACTTCTGGCCCTCAGGCCTATAAACAAGTTAAGTCACAACCAAGGACATGTTAGGGTCTGATAAGAGAGGAAAGGGACATTACCCCAAAGAAGCTGCAAGACCTAGATAGCACATACAAGCAGGACTGGGAGATAAATCTAGACCAGGAAAGCCAGAAATAAGACTGAATATATCTCATTTGTTGACTTGCTGCACCCTCTCAGAACACAAGACATAGCATTTTGGTAAGGACCCCAGAAGATGGTGCTAACCCACTGCTAAGGTTGCTCCAAGAAACCAGAAACAATGACCCACAATGACTAGAGTTGAAATGCCTAAATTGCAGAGAGAGAATTTTGAGGAAGGGATTAAAGGCTCAGAAAACTGGGCAGGCTAGAATGGACACCAAAGGATTATGGTCCATGGAAGGACCCAGAGAATACCTAGTCACCAAGGCCATCAGAAATACACTGGTCAGAACAGAACCAAAATCACTAAGAAAGAAATTCAGTGACTCTCCTCTGCAGGCCAGGGTGAATATAAAAGAGCATGTCAGGGCACCTTAGTGGCTCAGTTGGTTGAATATCCAACTCTTGATTTAGGCTCGGGTTATGATCCTGGACTCTCTGGGATCAAGACCCACATCAGGCTCCAAGCTCAGCACAGAGTCTGCTTGTCCCTCTCCCTCTGTTCTTCCCCCACCCCCTGCTCCCATTCATTCGCTCTAAGATAAATGGATAAATCTAAAAAAAAAGAAAAAAAGCATGTCATAGACATTAGCTTGCTGAAAGGAATGGAAATAATAGTGCCTTAAACTAATATTAATACACCCTAAGAACCCAATATTCAACCTGTGTCACAAATAGTTAAGGTCCATCTCTCCATCACCTGTGGAAATAAACGGAATTTCTCACTACAAATGGAAATTCTCTGGAACTTATGATGGCGATCCCTCATTAATGTACCTTGGCCAGACCCTGGAGAGAAGAACATTCTGTCTTGACAAAAAGTTCACCAGCTAAACTATACCCATTCCTTCTTCCCAACATTTAAAGCCTCTGCCTTATGGTTACTATACCAGCTGCCATGAACCTCAGTTCAGGACGGGTTAGAGATTATGTCTACATGATAATAAAGCAGACATGGTTTTGAAGCAAAGGTTACGGGACCTAGGAAAATGCAGAGCCCACCCACCACTACCACCACCACCACCACCCCAGAAAATGTGGAAGTGGCACAGCTTTAGGGGAAAAAGTCTTAGCAAGGGTACAGGAATAAATTAAGACAAAGAGGTAGAGAGGATGATTTATGGAGGGGAGTTTGTCACAGAATTGAGGCAAAATGGATGTGTCCATCTTCACATCCTTCTTTGCCTGATTAACCCTTATTTATCCTTTAAGAGCCATTTTAGCAGCCATGCCTTAAGAAGAGCTTTCCCTGTTCTTCACATTCACTAAATCTTGACATCAGGGTGTCACTACAGCAACTACGACAGAATGCATTCTTTTCTGTTGTAATTGTTTTTATTGAGCTATAATTCACATACCATAAAATTCAAACTTTTAAGGTGTATAATTCAATGTTTTAGTATATTTACAAGTTGCACAATCCTCTCTAATATCTAAGTCTGGAATATTTCAACACCCCAAAGAGAAGCCCCATACCCATTAGCAGTCATTCTCCATTCACCATTCCTTCCAGCCTGTGGCAACCACAAGTCCACTTTCTGTCTCTATGCATTTACCTATTTTGGACATTTTATATAAACAGAATTATACAATATGTAGTCCTTTTGTCTGGCTTCTTTCACTTAGCCTAATGCAGTCAAGGTTTATCTATGTTGTAGCATGTAACAATATGTACTCTCCTTTTTATGGCTGAATCATATTCCATTGTGTCTATATACCACATTTTTTTACCCATTCATCACATGATGGACATTTGGATTATTTCCACTTTACGGTTACTATGAATAATGCTGCTATGAACACTGGTGAACAAGTTTTTAAGTGGACCTATGTTTTCAATTCTCTTGGTATATGCCTAGGAATGGAATATCTGGGTCATATGGGAACCCTGTGCTCAACTTTTTGAAGAACTGCTGAACTGTTTTCTATTTTATATTCCCACCAGCAATGTAACTGTCTTTCATTTATCTAGCCCTCAAATTTCTTGAGGGCAGGGACTATCTTATGTTTTACCATATCCCTAGCATTTAGCAACAGTGCCTAATGCAGTATGGTTGTGTATGAGTATTTGTAAAGTGAATGACTAAATTAAAAGCACAACAATTTTTTTCCACCTTATGCCTTCTTTTGGAGAGATACTTATCAAAATACCACTTCATCACAATGCTCCCTCCCAATACCTTTAACTTTCTTCTCTCCGGACTCCTTTCCCTCTGAAACTAATCTCAGTAAATAACATACTCTTAGGTACCAGCACGTCTTAAGATGGGTGATCTATGATCACCAAACTGGAGAATTGGGATCTACTCAGGACTGCTCACCTGCACATTAGAGAAGTTAATATAATATAATCTGATGGTAGAATCAAGTGTTTCCAAATTGGCACCAATTAGCAGACAGGCAGATATTCATGTATATTTAGGGAGCAAAGTGACTCCCACATGGGGCCAGAGGCAACATATGGGGCCCATCCCATTACAAAGGCAGCCAGGGAAGCTCTGCAGATGAAAGGGCCTTCCAATTCTAGCAGCTCTGGGTGGGGATTAGCCTCCCATGATTGGTACTTAAGTAGCCTGATGATTTCCAGCTCTGCCCAGTTAAAGAGATTATTGCATAGAGTAAATACTCACTTTGATCCTCGAACACAAAGTGGACATGTGCACTTACACTTTAAACATGACCAACTTCTCTTGATATGAAATAGGGACACATCTCTAAGAAAATATGAATATACATTAATTCCCCATAAAATATCACAAAAATCTCTCCACTTCCGTTGATAAGCATTTACTGATACGGAAAGAGAAGACTCCCCTGATATTTTATACAAGACACATCACATTGTACACATATACTTTGCATCACTTCATTTTTTTAAGAATAGAAGTCGTGTGTAACTATGTTGAATAAATTCTCAAACTTTTATATAAATGACCTGCGGTAAGCAGAATGCCTACCCCAAGGATGCCCATGCCCTAATTCCTGGAACCTGCAAACATGTTACATTACATGGAAAAAGGGACTTTGCAGATGTAATGAAGGTTATAGACCCTAAAATAAGGAGATGATCAGAATAATCTAGATGGACTCAGTGTAACCACATGAGCCCTTAAAAGGAGAGATCTTTCTCTGGCTGGAATCAGGAAAGATGTTGCAGAAGGAAAAGTCAGAAATGTGAAGGGTGAGAGAATTTCGAACTACTCTTGCTGGAAGGGGACGATATGGAAAGCATGAGGACAAATGTGGGCAACCTGTAGGACCCACAGCCCGGCCCCCAAAATGACAGCAGACAAGAAAATGGGGACCTCAGTTCCATAATCAAAAGAAACTGAATCTGGCCAGCAACCTGAATGAGTGTGGTAGCAGATTCATCCTCAAAGCCTCCAGATCAGGACTCAGTCCAGCCAACACCAGGATTTCAACCTTGTGATATACTGAGCAGAGGACCCAGCTGAGCCACTGTCCTCTTGACTTCTGACCCAAAGAACTATGAATAAATACATTCGTGTTGTTTTAAGCCACTGAGTTTGTAGTAATGTGTTATGGCAGCATCAGATAACTAATATATTACCAAATGTCAGTATATTAAATTCCAAAATTCCATAGTAATGAAACACAATAACCACTAGAACTATCAATTAAAATCGCACACTCCTGGAACCAATTCACATTCCACTACCAAACGTTATTTGTTATGATAAATACATGGGAGATTTCTACCCATAACTATGGGGTAGTTTTTAAAATTATATCTAAGAATAATATTCCAATTTCTAAGTAATTGTCTTCTCCAACATGTATAACTTTAGCATTCATTTTTTAAAAAGTAAATAGATAATTGCTTTGTCCCATCTTTCATATTGGCTTATCAGTTCATACAGTTCACTATAGGTGTACATCTCTTTTATAATATATTTGATTAGATTCCTATTTCATGTAACCCTATATTAGTCACATTAACAAAAGCCAGTGACTGTTAATAAAGTTGAAGGAATCAATGTTTTCAAAAACTTAAGTACATAAATGATGTCAAAGATTTATAGCTCTCAAAAGTACAAAGAATTCTAAAGCAAAAGTCACTTATATTTTTAGTATATAAATACATAAAGCCAGTAACATTGACTTACTTTTTAATAAGACTTTATTAGTCTAATGACCGTACTTCGGTATTTGTTTTTTAAATTAGTAGCTCCAAGTTGCACGTGGCTTCTTGCAAACATATCACAGTTCCTCCAGGTCCTGATCTAAAGAACACACGCTTTGGATATTCCAAGTTCTACCTGCTCCAGCCAATGTTTCCAAATTACAACAATGCCAGTGAAATCGGACTTTCCCAGGGACTCTATAACATGATATAAAATCGAGATGTGGAACACAGACACTTACTTTTTCTGAGTTCTTTCAGCCAGCCTTGCAATCTCTATCGCTGCCTTCCTTGCTTCAAAATCTTCCCTTTTAACCACCTCTCCAGTCCCTCGGTAGCCTAGCTCCACCAACTGGCGGGCCAGGCCTTCATCCTAAAGAGAAAAATAAATTCTACGATTTGCACACGAATTAGACATCTTATTTTATTGGATGTATACTGAATAACTTTTAAATGAAAATCAAATTTATTTTTTAAAAATGAGACATATGAGATATGAAAACTTAGAATTCTTTCTAACAATACTTTCATAAACACCAGATTTATCACCCCTTTCCCACAGATGTACAATAAAGAAAAAAAAAAGGAAACATCAGTCACTAAATTTTCTCTAAGGGATTAAAGGACAAAAGTCTGTTGTTTTTAATCCATTTATGAGAGCAGCTGTAGATAATTAATAGAATATCTTTAAAACAATAAACCGAGACAATAGTACTCATACAAGAAAGACTTTTAAAAACCAATTGCACAAAAAGAGAATTGGGTTGCTCCCATAAAGTGCAACATTTCAGAGATTTACTTCCTTGAAGTCAATGAACTGATGACACAGAGCATTAAAACTTCAAATACAAAATAAAGAGCAGATGAATTTCCTATTTAACTGGAAAGATATTGTTTCCATATAATGTTGGTACCAATAAAGACAGCAAAGTAGAAACCCAGAAAGATGACAACAAAAAAGCTTCAAGCTGAAAAAAATTTCCCCACAATCCTTTAGCCCTTTTATATTTCAGCTACTTTAAGAAATGTCTCACACATTTGTGTCGCTTGCATAGCATATTCAAAAAAGAATACTGCTTCCCCATAATCTGAAGAGGTGTTGTTTTATATGAAGTTACTGATAGAAGGACTAAAGTGTTACATAAAAATATGTATATATTAATAATGTTCCTTATATTATCATCTTGGTTAAATATGAAATATCTGAAAGACAGTGAAAACAGCATACATTTTATTGTTACAGACACTTACTTAATACATCACTGTGGAATGCAAGAACCATCTGACAGAATTAAATGAGAAAATGTAAGATGCCTGGTTAATAATCGATTCAGCCCTTAGAGGCTGGTTTAAAATTCAAACCAATGGGAAGAAAACATTTAGACATTATCAGCCTAGAAACTCGCTACTTTCCTTTGCTAAAAATTAAAAGTAAATACAGTTGACCCTCAAACAACAAGGGTTTGAACTGTGCAGGTTCACTTACACACATTTTTTTCTCAATAAATATATACTGGAAAATTCTTTAGAGATTTGCAACAAATTGAAAAAAAAACCCACAAATTAATTGTGGAGCCTAGAAATAGTGAAAGAATTAAGAAAAAGTTACTTGTGTCATAAATGCATAAAATATATGTAGACACTAGTCTATTTTATCATTTACTACTCTAAAAGATACATAAATCTATTATAAAATGTTAAAATTCATCAACACTTACAGATTGTACACCATCTTTTCATTTCTCATTCTGCTATTAGTAATACATATAACATCTACAGCAATCTGTATCCTATAAGACGATACTGATGTAGGTACTGACAGACGATTCGTCTTGTAAAGAGCTGATGTACACTTACTTTAGATAAAACACAGTCCAGGACTGTAAATGTATTTTCTCTTCCTTCTGATGTTTTTTTTTAAGATTTTATTTATTTGAAAGAGAGAGAGAGCTCGTGAGCACACCCGCATGAGCGGGGGAGGGGCAGAGTGAGAGGGAGAAGCAGATTCCCCGGTGAATGGACTCCATCCCAGGACCCCAGGATCATGACCTGAGCTGAAGGCAGATGGTTAACCCCCACCCAGGCGCCCCGCCTTATGATGTTCTTAACATTATCTTTTGTCTAGCTTACTTAATTGTAAGAATACAGCATATAATACACGTGACATACAAAATATGTTTTATGTTATCTTTTCAACTGTTTATGTTCTCAGTAGGACCTCTGATCAACAGTAGGCTATTGGTAGTTAAGTCCTGGGGTACTCAAAATTTCTCCACAGATTTTCAACTGCTTGGGGATCATCGGTGCCCCTAATTCCCTTGTTGTTCAAGGGTCAACTGTACAGAACTCTGTGTAGTAATGGGGGGATGCATTTGCCAAGCTAATAGAGTGCAAAGCACCAGGCCTTGGGAGGGCCATGTGCCTTTTTTCTGGCTCATTTCCCTGCTTATTACACCGGTTATTCTAGGCTCTTTAGTGAGAAGCACAAAACTAAGCAAATGCCTCCACCTAGTGGAATTAATATTTAATAGAAAAAACAATGAAGATTTTGGATTTGATTTACAAAAGAGAGATGATTTGAGTGTAAGTTTTCATAAATATATTGTTAAAAGTGAGCATATGGGAAGAACTCTCAGCTAAACTCTGAGACTGTGGGGTTTTTCTAGAAGAATGTAAATGACTTGTAGTCAACACAGTATTTGATATAATGAAGGCCATTAAAAAAAGTTTGCTGTATTAATTCAATATAAGGAATGAATGGTGCATTTCTGTGTGCCTTTCCTGGGCCACACAAAATAATCTGGATAGCTCTGCACTCATCTACACTAATGTATATTGCCACAAATAGCAAGATCTACTGAGAAAACAAGTAGAAAGCTGAAGTTGGTTGCCTCACCAACCATTACCACTTATAGAATCATAGGTCATCTGCCCACTTTAAAGGGTCAATTATCTTTAAAGAAATTATCCTTAAAGAAACCTGAGAAACAAAATATTTTTACTTATTCACATATTTAGCACTTCTGATGCTTTATTCGTTTGTGTAGATCCATGTTTCCCGCAGATATGATTTTCCTTCTACCTAAAAAACTTTCACATTTCTTGTGGTGTAGGTCTGCCAACAACTAATTATCTTGCCTTTTGTTTGACTTAAAAAATGGATTTCACCTTAATTTTTGAAAGATATTTTTGCTGGGTTAGTGCTCCAGATTGACTTTTGACCTTTCAACACTTTAAAGATGTTGCCCCATGCCTCATATTACCTCTGAGAGGTGGTTAGTCTTTTCCATCTGTTTTATTTTACATAATGTGTCCTTTCATTTTAGATTCCTTTTTTTTTTATCACTGGTTTTCAGCAATTTTAAGATAGTCCTTGGATTGGTTTCTTTGTGTTTATTCTGCTGGGAATGCACTGTACTCCTTGGCTCTACAGATTTACAGTTTTCACAGAATTTGGAAATTAGCCATTATTTTTTCAAATATATTTTATTCCCTACTTCCCTGGGATTCAACTTACATTTTTTGGAAGGGCAAAAAGATTATCATTTTCTATAAAACTCTATGGTTTTGACTATAACAGTTCGTCTTAGTAAAAAATAGATGATTAGCCATGAATCCACGTATATAAATAAGGCAGTAATCTTGTATTAATTGTCAATGCTTCTTCCCTCATATGACTGTGAGTCATTGATGTTTGGAGGCCAGTGGTTTGGAGCAGGTTAACTATAAAGAGGCATCATGCAGAGCAGAACCCAGAGATAGCTCGCCCTTAAAGAGGCTTCCTTGCTACACATGAACCATAAAACATGTGGCAAGGCAGAGGCCACCCAAGTGGGCAGCAAATGTCTGTACAAGACTTAATTCTGACTACATGACTATTCTTCTGGGACAGACGTTAGACATCTCTCAGCTGCTGGGAGAGATGTTTGGCCCCAAGGATGTGGATTGGAACGGTACCTTCCAGTTGCTGTGGTCTTGGACCTTGGCAGAGTTGGACTGGGACTCCAGGGTTCCATCCCAGAAGCCCGCAAAACTGCCCGGGGTCATACTGATTTCTGGAAGGCTACAGATCTGTGGTCTGGCATGCACAATTCACTCCCCAAACAGATTTGGGGCTGTACTGTCCCCAGTTTCTGGGCCAGAGCTCATGCCCACCCCCAGCCTGGCTGTACCCCTGGGGCAAAGTGCCTCCCACACTGTTCCTCTAGTGGGGTAATGGTGAGGGGTAGATGAAGATTGGAATTTGGTGTTATGTGGGATGAGCAAGACCCCTAACAGGTGAGTCTGGAACAAGGGGTAGCCAGCATCTGGAGCACTGAGGTATTTCTCATCAGAAGAGAGAGAAATAGAGAAAGAAAGGAGGAGGGAAAGAAGGAAGGAAGGGGAAGGGGAGGAGGGAGGGAGGGAGGGAGGGAGGAAGGAAGGAGGGAAGGAGGGAAGGAAGGGTGGGTGGGTCTATGGCCACTAGAACACTTGATGTTACCGACAGGCTACTGAGGCTCCCGTAGCTTTTATGTATTTTGTTATTATGTTGTATATTGCTGGAAAAGAGTTATTATTGTAGTTCAATCTTAAATTTCTTCAACTAAACTCACTGATTTGTTCTAAAAGGATTCCAGTCTAATTTTCTTGTATTCTCATGGCAGATAATCATACTGCCTTTATAATAATATTGACTTCTTCCAAGTATTTATGACACATTTCTTTCATCATAGCATTGCTGTGGTCAGACTACCAATAAAAAGTTAAAGAGTACTCACAAACATTTTTATCATGTTTCCATTCCAGTGCTAAACTTTCCAAATGTTTAACTGCTGATTATAAAGTTTACAAGTGATTGCTATATACTCTTCATCAAGTTATGACATGAGTTTAGAATTTTATCCTATGCTTTTTCTGCAACTATAGAGATTATATTTTTTCTTTTTAAATTTAATGTTGGGAAAATATATAAAGAATTTGCTCAAGTTGCAAAATCAGAAAAGACCAGTAGGTGGTTTTAGAAGTCCCTGACTTCCCCCCAACAAAAAGACTTTTTCACTCTCATTTGAATGCTAAATTACCTACTTTAGTCAGTCCAGGCAGGAAACAGATGACACACTTAATGGAGTAAGTGAAGGAAATTGAGTGGCTGAGTTCATTAACAAAGGTATAGACAGGGTTAAGAAAAATCCTAGAGAGATAATGAAGCACCCTGCAGCTAGCTACAGCAATAAGCTATTAAAAGTCACTAGTCCGGGCACCTGGGTGGCTCAGTTGGCTAACCGACGCCCTTCGGCTCAGGTCATGATCCTGGAGTCCCGGGATCGAGTCCCGCATCGGGCTCCCTGCTCAGCGGGGAGTCTGCTTCTCCCTCTGACCCTCCCCCCTCTC